ATCACATTAATATATTTCATCACCAATCATTTGGCACGTCCACATGTCTTCCATGAAATAAATTTTTTTAAACTTCACGTGACATAAATTAATAAATGATAATTTAATTAACTACAGTTAATTAATTTTTAATTATAAGAATCTAATTGGTTAAAAATAAAAATAAAATAACTTGATTGAACATAATATAAAAATAAAATTTTATTTAAATTTACTCGGATAATTCAAGAATTCTTTTAAGTTTTATATCTTAAATTAAATATTTGGATGGAGTCAAATTTTCAATTTTGAAAAATGTAGAAGTATGATTAATTAAATATTTTAAAAAGTTGATTATGAGATACTAAAATGTCAAGGTTTTATATTGTTTATGGTTAGAGTTTCCAATTTTGAAGTCTTACCACTAGAACAGTGCAAATTAGGGGGCCATTAGTCACCTTTACACACAATTGTTTCAAACTAGAGCCTCATTCAATGCCTTCAAATTTTGGTTTGGAGTAAAAAAGTAATAGTTTAGTAAGATAATTTCCATTTCAAATTGAAATGTTTAGGCTTTCGGAAATGCAAAAGTGAGTTTCAAATTATATTTAATGATTAACCTATGGTTGTGGTCTTTGCGGATCAGGTAGGAGGGTGGATGGAAAGGAAAATTAGGTTGGAAGTGTGATTTTTATTTTTAATTTCAAAAGAAACAAAAAAAAAGTTAAGTTGGCAAATAAGTTATTAAAAGATAATTTAAAAAAATATTAAACTATTTAAAAAATTCAAATAAATTTTTATTCTTCAATTATGTTATTTTAAATTAAATAAACTCTTAACTAATCATCATTAGTTATTGTTATTTTTTATATTTCATAATACTGACGTGGTATATTGACTTGTCATAATAAATGATCATATGATATTTTTACCTTTCACATTAATGTAACGTGAATATAAAAATGATAACCAATGTTTGAGTTTCATTAAGCACAATAAAATAACAAAAATTTATTAAAATTTTTTTAAAACGTTATACTTTCTCAAAATCATTTATCTGAAAAATAATTTAAGAAATTATATTCTTAATTTTGGATCACATCCCAAATTTAGGGAACACAAAGTTTGCAAACGCAAACATTATACTTTATGAGAATCAATTAATCAAATCATATATCAATTTAATCTAATAGATATGATGAACTTTTACCTCAACAGCTTATCAACATTAAAAAATTAAGTTGGCCTTCGAAGGTATTGCGCCAAGTTAAAGATAAGTATATCTTAGTCTTGAACACTTGATCAAATCAGCCTTTTCTAGTAAATTTTTTTATGGGATGAAACCACCGTGACACTACTTTGAATTTTAATATTTAATTTTTGTTGAAGTTAATGTCTTTGCTACTGCACTAAGCTTATGTAATGATTAATGTCAATAATCTCTAGCCATTCTTCTGTTATGTTTGTTTAAAATTGGAAAAAAAAAAGGTCGTTCAATAATTTAGGAGATAGAAAATTTACATTCAAGCTATATATAATTTACCACTTCTCGCAATTCAAAACATTTCATGACAGGAAATATTAGTATTATATATATATATCAATTTTAAGTATAAAAATTGGTATAAAACAAAAATAAGCTCTGCAACTATTCCTTTACTTATAACAATTGATGTCTAAGTTAAATTTAGACGAAAAACGCGGACACAAGCAATAGGACCAAATCAAATGAAAATTTGATAGCTTAATTGCTAAAAATAAAAAGTTAGGGCCTACAAAGAAAATTTAGCCACAGTTTGACACAAGCTATAAACCATCAAATTTTTCTTGCTGGTTTTGTAGTTTTTAAATAAGTAGAAGGACAAGTTCGTTAATCAAGCTTTCTACCGTCCTGGTCAGGGCAAAAGGAAAAGATTTATAATTATATATTAAATAATTAATAGAAATAGTAAAGAATATAGTGCAAGAAAGTACATAGCGTCAGAGGTTGACACCTCCGCGCGCCTATTGACTTTAACTATTAACACCCAAAGGACATATTTATCATATTTCTAATCCTCTCTCTTCGTTCTTTAGACTGTGGCAATAAGATACAATTACATACTTATATATTTGTACTTTATAATTAAATGAACATAATATCAAAATCTGCAAAGCAAACCACAAACCTCCAAGCATACGATCTAGACTAGAACACTGAAGAGATTCATTATAAGGCGGGACCACATCACAGTCTCATTAAATATTTTATTTTTATTTTTATTTTTTTCATTTATATTAACAAGATTTGCTCCTGTATGTGCCTTGTGGGCTTGCAGTTGTCACTTTTTATTATCAGCACTTATGATTTTATTTAATTTCATATATATTAATAATAGAATGCTACAGGGAGATTATATTAGGAGCGGTCGATGAGGGTTGGATTCTGTGTCAAAGTGATGTTATAGAAGATTTTAGACATATTTGCATTGAAAAAGACATGATTATATTTATTCTAATCATTACTACAACACACATTGACACATTAATTGGTTGCATCACGAGAACGTACCTTAGGCATCATTTGCAATTAGAGTGCTTCAAAATTTAGGTTTCTTTGACCTTGTCAACGTAGAAAATCTTATCATTAATGCATAGAGTATTAGACTCAGACAACGTGAACATTCACCGTTTAAATGTACTGTTTTCAAAGTATTCCAATTATAAGAGAATATGTGACATGGGACATCGCCGTTTCACATCTTTAGAGACACGATGATGAGAATATCTCCTGGTTGATATTTATGGAGGACATTCAACGTTTCAGAAACTAACCACAAGCAAGGCTATTGACCTGCTAGATGAAATTTGAGCGACTTTCAATAGCCATCTGATCATACAAAGCTCCATGAAGTTGGTTTGAGGATAGTAATATGCCGAGTCAGTAGATATTATGGTAAATCAACTGTCACAATACCACATTGTGCACTTCCAGTGCATGGTCCATCAGGTATTAAAGACGAGACGTGTCCTGAAGCTAGCAAATTATTTTAAACAATATTCCATTAGAAAAGAGAGAACGAACATCAGAGCTTTGCTGAGTCGGTTCCTGTATTTCTTTATTCTCATGTAAACTCATAGAACAGTGTAAAGTTGTCTCAGCTTCAACCATCATAACAGAATTTATTCCGTTTTCAGAATGAGCTCAATTGATTGCCTCATCAAAGAGTTCAGGGTGGATGGGGAAAAGATTGCAATGATTCCTCGTCGTTAGAAAACAAAAGATTACCAACAATGGTCCTCAGGTTCTCCAAATAAAACCAAAGTCTCATATCAACAAATCTGAAAACTTACAACTAAGGAGAACTTGGCTGCTTTCCTGTTTGCTTACTGCTATTGATGATCAAGCTTAAACTAAAATTACGCTGCTAAAATGTTCAAATTTGCTAACAATTCAAATGCCTACTGAATAGAGGCATGCTGTTCTTATTGATCTAACTCTATCCCATCCTAACAATTTTAAGAAGGTAAGGTACAATACTCACCTTGATCTATGATTTCTCCTCATCAGACTGAGAGCATGGCTGCCCAGGGACAGAATCAACAAAAATTCCTCCACTGAAACAAGATAGATCTATCAGTGTACGGTCAAAAACACAAGGCATATAGAGTATAATTGAATGGCGGAAATATCAACAAGCTGAGTATTCCAAAATGTCACATTGATGCCATTTGCCCACTTAGTACTATAATTCACAAGCCCTACTGTGAGATTTTAATTACACGTGGATATAAACTCAACCATAATGAATGGCATCAAAGGTCTGGTAAAATCATATTTGATGCCAATCATAAAGCATCCCATATCTGTTATAGATAGAACAGGTATCACCATGTTTTCTAACTTTCTAAGCTACTCTTTTTCTTTTCATTTTTTTTGAAATAACATTCTAAGCTACTCAACATCCTCTAATGATTCTAACAGGCATCAAGGTAAATAGCACTATGCAACCCCATTACCTATATCCTCTTGCTCTGGAGAATCAAGCAAAATTTCTGAATCAGAGGAAGAAAAGGAGAACCAGAATAGTTCCCAAGCGCTCCTAAATCTGTATCAATTCCAACGGCCACATTTTATGAGAACAAGCTCCATAAAGAATAGCAATTAAAAAGAACAATCAAGTACTAAAATATGCAAGGTTCCGGGAATAGGGTTTCCAAGGCCAACAATGAAGCAATGCATAAATAATTAAGTGCGAAATTCGAAAACAAATACAAAGCATGGTCTTGAGATGTGTGGGTGGAGAATAGGGATGACAAAACACTTCAATAAAATTTTAACTGAATATCTTAGAGTGGTTCTCATAGCCACAACTTACCTCCAAGTTTGACAAGTCTGCTGTCAGATCTGTGAGGCTAAAATTCCACTGAATCTGATCAAGTGATCTAAGGGAATCTCTAGAATTCCCAGCTCCATTATCAGGTCCCAGCTGCAATCCTACTGAACTTGCGACATCGGTTGTGAAGGCTGAATCAAGTGCTGAAGTGTCTACTCCCATCCCTGACATGTCTGATGCAGTGAAGGGAAATTCCCGCTGGACGCCACTGATGTAGGACTCACAGGCATCTCTGACACAGTGACATGGTAGTGGTTGGAGGAACTGCAGGTGTTACATTAGTGGCATTGTTTTCCATCACCATGCTACAATAAGAAGAAAACCAGTTACCATTAGCTTAACTTCTCTGGAACAAAATACTTAACCAGAAATAAAAATTTTGAAAGCCAAAAGTAATGCATTAGGAAGAGGAGTAAAGCTAAAGAAAATGTGACGAGTACTTTATGTCTAAACATTCTTAAGAAAGGTGTTAGTACAAATTATTCATTTAGCTAACCTAAAACAGTTTAGGAATATGGTTTAATTGAACATAGGTGGTGTGCAATAGAGTGATATAACTTAACACAATCATTGATGTGTTGCAAATGTGATCAAGCAGTTCCTTAACATTTCAACCAAAAAGGTAAAACAAGAGCAACACATAATTACATTGCAAGTAATCAAATTGTTAATTAGGCAAGCATTTGATAGAAATATAGGATGTGATCAGGAAAATAAAGAAGAAAGGCACCTTCAAAATTACCGGTAATAAGTATCTGTAAGTCTAATAGGCAAGTAATAATAGATTAAAACAAAGATGGCTAAGTGCTCACTCCGTTCCCGAATTCATTCGCATAGGTTGAAAATTGCTGGGTGCAGGGACTCCATTGACCACATGACAGTTTGATATACCCATGGAGTCAAGATGAGGTTGCCCTGTAGCTGGAATTGGAGGCTGTTGCAGCACAGGGTATCCATTGGTAAGTTGTTAACTGCACTGCAAAGAATGGAGTTGAACAACCATGATAGTGACAATAACATGGCTAACAACAAAACTCCTACATCAACTTTTTACTTCAGAGACACTGATCCCAAGGAAAGTTGTGATATGGTTACAGTGCCACATCCCTCTCACTGATTCTCTTCTCCCAATTCAAAAAAAAAACACAAACTTCCTAAATGTAGTCAAACAAACAGAGACACCATATCATATGAAAAGTTACAAACCATTCCCTATAAGTGTATGAAACCAGGGATTCTTCTCCTTATGTTGAGAATTTGAAAAGAGGAATGTGATCATCTATTTTCCCAGAAATTTATCCTGTTCAAAAACTATTCTATGCAACATTGATAACTCATAAATTTTCTTCAACGATTTCTGTGGCTCTGTCCATGCTGATCTTGACTCTATGATTAGGTGAGTATCATGATCACTTTGTCATATAACTAAAATGATAGAGGAGTATCATGATCACTTTGTCATATAACTAAAATGATAGAGGCTTGCATCCATTATTTATTTAGTCAGAACTTACCGGGCATGGGATGGATCCCATTTTGTATTGGAGCCAAAGGAACCTTTGGAGGCACAGGGTATTTCATCAGATGATATTGATGCTCAAGCAAATGGTTAAATAAAAGGATTTGCTTCTTTAACTTCAGCCTTATGTAATAGGCCCGGAAAAAATCAGCATTCTCCTCTTCCAGCTTCTGCCATACTGAATAAACAACAGTAAAGAGAACACCAGAGTGAGGTTCCCAACTCTATCACGGTTGAACAACAAATATACTCGATAATTGGTCGCTAAGATTTAACTGATTCAAAGATATCATTGCGCTAAAATGAATTTTATTTTGCTTTAATGGTATGTTCTTCTATATCACGTGCATTTTTTATGCATTTTATTGAAAATTCCAAATAACATAAGCACATATGCAGACTAATAAAGAGATTCGAGGAAGCATACCTAAAGTTGTGAATCCAGGGTCTATCCTTGCTCGAGTCAGGAGAGTTTTGACAACCTCATCTCTATTCATGTATAGTTGTAAACATCGTTCAATTAAATTCTGGACCTGCACCAACCAGTTTACATCAATTATAAATCAGTGTAAATAAAACTCCCTCTATCATCAAACATCATGGTAAGAAAACTGAAAAAGAAAAAAGAAAAGAGGATAAATAAATGAAATATAAAAAGGGCCCGTTTCGTACAAGTTCAATATCTTGGCGTGAAACTTTTCGGCCATCATTGCTTGAAGCAGACACAGAGCCAGAGTCTGCTAAGGGGGCATCCGTTGTTTGATTGTTCTGCTGTTCCGTTTTTGGTTCGTGTGAAACTTGAGTTGAGGGTGTTATATCTTGTGTGCTCTGTAAACGAATATAATATATCTTCAAGTTAGCATCAAGGAAGAAGATCTGAGTGATAAGCAGATTAATGCACCAAACAAAAGGCTGTAAACAGTTCATTACTCTCTAACTTTTGGAGTAATGACCACTTGCAACTAAACGAAGTAACCACTTAGCTGACACCTAAAAGCAATTAATTAGAAATAAAATTACTTATTAAAAGAAAAAAACACCTGTAAGTTCTTCATTCCAACTGAAAGCCAACTGCTTGCATCTCTTTGCTCAGCTCAGACACTCCCCAGCTAAGGCCACATAATTCACCAACATCAAAATGTTGGCAACTGGATCAATGGCATGCAACCTGGGAAGAAATTTACAATCACAAGGCTGTGAGCCAAAAGTACAGCGAAGAGAACTTCTCCCTTTAAATATTAGTACAAATTAAGTTTCACCAGATAAAAACAAAAACTATGTTCAAGGTGAAACAAGAATATACCCCAAATGCCACTTTACTGATATTAGAATCTTTGGCCAAAACAAGGAAGTATACCATGTATAGCTATTCTAAATTTCTCCACAAAATCTCTCAAAAAGTAGACAATTTGCTCAAATCAATCATTAGGTTAAATAAGCATTAACTCCAACAAACTAACAAAAACATATCTTACTAAGGCAAAAAATCGACAAACAGATCTACACCGGTTATGGTTAACTAATAAAATCCTTCACTTCCTCTCAAATTTTTCCGTAACACTTTTCAATTTTCGAATGCAAATAATGCAACAAGCAGAATCAAGTCCCTAAAATTAATTACATAAACCTTGCAAGGTCAGAATCTACACAACTTATCTTATCTTTCTAAAGGCAATGACCTTTCTCGCTATCATTTTTAAAGTCGTTCATACTACTTTTTCAAAGCCTACTTCCCTTTTTTTCCCCTTTTAGCTAAAAACTGCAAGTAAAGTACAGTCAGTTTCAATTAGCAAAGCGAAAATTCCGAAAATTCATTTTCGCATTAATCTACGATAAACAAGTAGATTTAACAAGGCGCACCACAAATTTAAATTTAGCAGTACTAAAAATAAATAAATAAATAAAGATCTAGTTAAATTTACCTTACAATCAAACCTGCCGACTCTTGAAAGCACGCGAAAATAAAGAAATTTAAACTTTTTGTGTCGACGAATTTAGAGATCCAAGCTGAAGATTTAAATTAACTTTAGGAAAATAAATTACTGTGTTAATTAAGTTCGGAAGAGTTACTGTGGCGGTAATGAAGGATTATTCGATGAAGATTCTGGATTGAAGCTGAAATGCAGAGCGCTAAGGGCTTGGGAGATATTTTGAGGATGGCTTTGAGAGATATTTACAGCGAAATAAAGAGGGAAAAAATGGGAAAAAAATTGAATTTCGAGGCAAAAAAATGGAGGCCAGAGCAGCAGTGAAGTATATGGAAGAGTTGAGCGGAGCGTTTTAGGGTTTATTATGACATTATTAGTGTAATTATTTTCTTGTTGTTGCTGAAAGCAAAAAGTGGAAAGAGGAGAGACCGCAGAGAAACCAGAGGCGAAATTTGGGGGAAAAAAAATCTTAACAGAATGAGTTTTTATTTTTTAAAATTCTTTTTGGCATTTTATAGTTTTGATTTTCAGGTAATAAAAAGCGTCAATTTGGGGAGAAAATGACGCTCGGGACAAAAGAAAATGTAGAAATATATTAGATGTGATCAAAATAAAAGGCCCTTTTTGAAATTCCCACACGGCTTCAACTGCTTGAGCCTCGGCCTGTCCCGAAGATCTTTACTAATCACGTTTCACGAGCCTGTCGTGATTTAAACAGCTGAACAACAAGCCATACTCTCTTTCTTTCTTTCTCTCTTTAAGTGGCAACATATTTAAAGAATTGATCAATACATCAAATTAAAAAGGAAAACAAACAAAGAGAAGGGCAAGAAGAGGCGAGTCTACCCAAACTCAAACCCAG